TAATACAGTAGAGCATTAGATACACCAGACATGCATCTGATCCTGGAAGGAACCCTGACATATAAGGCACACACATTCACTCTGCATCATGAATCATTCTGTGTACTGTTTAACTTACTTTTGTTCTCCAAGGACAGTCTTCCCCTCCATAATCATAAGTAATTTCCTCTCCTTCTTTAATGTCATTTAATGCAAACAGACAAAGGTGCGGGTTTCCATTGACATCGATTTTTTTCATTCTACAGTTTGGCCGTCTATGTTCGTCATTTATTAGCCTCCCAAATGATCCGTCATCTCTTGAGGCATCAATACTGAAGGAAAGATGGAAACAGAGATGATGAGATACATCACCACAACATTTAAGCCCCTTTATAGTGCTATATATTACAGTAAATAGTGTAGTCTCACCACCATAATTTTCCTTTCCACTTGAACGCGAACATGAAGGCAAGACATGACGAGTGGTAGAGTTTTTTTCTTCTCTGGGACTCTGCATCATTTATCATATCCCCTTTATACTCAACCACAAATTCACCCTTGGAAATTGAACTCTTTGCAAATATGCCGCGTCCTGTAACAGACAATAAAATAATCTGAACAAAACCTGGAAAACCCATTCAATCTACATTACACAAAGGACGGCAATTCTGAAAAAAAGTATCTTAAAAAGAGTTGTCAGTAGATGGAGGCTCATCTGATATAACGGTAATAAAGTTCCTACTTTGTGTCCCTTACTTTTTGCATTAGTTGTTATATAATAATAATAATAATAATAATGATGATGATGATGATAACAACAACAGTTGAATCACTACCATACCTTTTACAGCATCTATGTATTTCACCTCCAATTTGAATGTTTTGTCTCTTTTTGAAATGATATGCTGAATGGCATCATTGAGGGGGGTGATCCGTGGTGGCATCTTAATCTGCAGATAAAATAAACAAATTTGTCTGCACTGCTCATTCTGTAAAGTCATCAGCTCAATAACTATGACTAGACACTTAAAAAACAGAGTAATGGCTTATCATTTGTTGAGCAAAATGGCAGAAAAGTGACAAGACTTGCACAGTTACCCCCGAAATTTAGTGTATTATCACAAACTCACCACCACTGAAGGGAGACAAAGTTAAATTACATTAACGGCAATAGGACTTCCGGCGCACTTTCAAATTAAAAGCACAACAGAGGAAGTTACCACAAAATTGTGGTTTGTAGGACAGCAATTTGATGACTCGAAAAATTATGTTGCTTATTTGTTTTTAATTGCAGCATTTCCAAATTCATCTATGAAGAACTTAGGTCTATACTAACATGTTGTAACTTTACTTGAATTTAACTACAGTACTAATCGTGAATTCATCATATAAAAATCACATTTGCATTTGCTCAATAAACTATAGCCTAATATTAGGCTATAAGTAATATATCTGTGCTGTTTTAGTAGACACACAAACCGCTGGTTACCTAATTTAAAGACTTAATTTCATAATTTTTTTTCCTTTTAATTTTTTTTCTTGCTATTTTAAATACTGTCATGCATACATATTGTGATAAAAGTTAAGCAAAACATGTCAGAACCGGGAAAAAAACAAAAAACTAATTGCATTCATTCCCTCATTATCACCGTCAGGTGTTAGCTTGTATCATGCATGCAATTACATTAGCTACAGGCTACTTAGCTAATAGATTAGCCGGCTACTCGGCTAATAGATTAGCCGAGTAGCCTGTGGCTAATTGCCTTACTTTTGGAATGGAAAAAAAGGCAGGAATATACAAATATGCTTACCTGACATTTCCGTTTCACTCCACAACACAAAAAGGTTCACTTTCCAGCACTTTCCAGTGAAAATGCACTTGTTCATAAAATCCTTCCAAATGGGTACTCGGAAGTGGGCAGTGCCCTACCATATATGGTCAAAGTGTGTAAGCGCAACAGCGATTGCATTGCTGTCCCCAAAAAGATAGGGGGCGCAAGAGAGCACTCCCCACACACAAACATTGACTGAAAAACATGTGTTATAGGCCAAAGCTAAAAACTTCACAGACAGCTTATAACTGCTCCAGGAGTGATTTAAAAAGGTTTTCCTTATGGGGACCCGATTTTTTGTCCCCAGAGCGCAAGAGGTCCCCATGACGTGACTGTGTAAACAGTTTGAAGTCCCCATGATGTGATAAATACCAGAACACACACACACACACACACACACACACACACACATACATTAACACATTAAATGAGAATTAGGCGGGAATTGTTGGTCTTCTGTAAATAGGAGTGGTGGTGTAGTGGTTAGCATAGCTGCCTTCCAAGCAGTTGACCTGGGTTCGATTCCCGGCCAAAACAGCTCCTCCCTACTTGTAAGTCGCTTTGGATAAAAGCGTCTGCCAAATGCATGAACATGAACATGAACATAAATAACTTCGGAGTCCTAGTCAGAGTCAGAGGTTTAACAGGTTAAGTTCTCCTCCTTTTTGGCTTTAATGTCTTGAATCCTCACCTCTGTATTGTGTCTATTCAAGTTCTAGCCACACAGAATAGTGAAAAGTTTAAAGGGACCATAATTCTGGATGAGCATGAGTTTAAAAAATCTGTTTGATGAATCAACACAGCTCAAAATAGACTAAAAGTGGTGCGTTTGTCCTTCATAGATCAAAAAATAGCCTGTTATTGTTTGCTTCCCCATCAGTGAAACCATTTGTTTACTTTGTTTGGTGAATCTGATGCTCTGAAAGTGAATGAACCTACATTTTAGTGGCTTTAAAACACATCAGTGACTCCACTGATTTCATCTAAAATGAAGATCAGACGATTGGAAAACCTCTTTTTGAAGATGATCTCTGTCTGGGTGTGTCCACGGTGTCTGCCATTAGCTTCCCCTCTTTGTCTCCTAGGTTACCAGCCGTGTGACCCGCAGGTGATTTGCAACCGTGTCAACCACGTGTCGTCCTGTCTGGAGGAGCTGAAGCAGCTGGCCGCCAAAAGACGCGCCGAGCTGGAGGAGTCCAGGAAGCTGTGGGCCTTTTTCCAGGTGGGACGGCCTCGAACTGCTCTGCAGCAGCTCTGAAACCTGCTCGTGTCTTTTAAGGGACCATCCCGTGGAGATTTCTGAACCTTTTTTTTACCATTTTGTCGACTTGTTTGTGTTGAAGCTCATTTGTTTGCGCCTTGTGATTAAATTCTGCTTAGAAATGAGCCCTGCAGGCCACCGTCCACAGCTAAATGTCCTTTAAAATCTGCCTCTTGCAGATTAGAGGCACCAGATCTCAACGTATGAGGGTTTAATGAGTGTTAAACTCAGTTTATGAAGGATGTGTTTTGTTTTTTTTGTCCCTCTGAGCTGTTTGGCTCTTTGTTGGATGGATTTAATCTTTTCAGCCTGTTTTAACCTCTGGCCCTGAGAAACAAAGCCAACCAGTCGTTGGTTTGCCCTCATTATAACTGTACATATCACAACTTTTCCTTTATATTATTTTACTCTGTTCTTTCTGTTCAGTCTCTTTAGGTCCCCAGGTGTTATTTTTCTACCGAGTTTATCTCATTCCCCCCCTTTTTTGGTTTCCTTTTAAACATTTTGCGGGTTATTCTCTTGACTGGAAAGCCTCTGTTGTGTGCGCCGTCCCGACAGGAGCTGGAGGAATCAGAGGCCTGGATCCGGGAGAAGAGCTCCATCCTGGCCGCTCAGGGTTACGGGAAGGACCTGAGCAGTGTGCTGAGGCTGCTCCAGAAACACAAAACTCTGGCCGGAGAGCTGCTGGCCCACCGCTCCCTGCTGCAGGTGTGTGTTCGGGCCTCTGAGCCCTCAGCGGGCTGGAACATTAACACCAGTTTTGTTCTATATCTGCTTACATCAATCAAGGCACCTCACTAAACCCGATACCCAGCGTGCTCTATTGATTAGACACTGAAAATATCCTGTAAAACACACCTTTGTTATGTGCAAATGCATCGGTCAGAAATGGAACTCAGGCAGGACTCAGATGCAGAGATCTTGGCAAAAAGCTTTAAGAGAAATTAAGGTGCACTCGCTGGGAGTGGAAAGGCAAAGTACAAAATAATAATCACTCTAGAAAACGAGGCAGACAAAGCTATGAACAAAGTATCAAATAATAATAATCAATCTAACGAGGCAGAACAAAACTGTGGACAAAGTACAAAATAAACTCACTCTGAAAGGAGGATGACCAAAGTTACAAAGTACAAAATAAACTCTCTCTCACGAGGACGAAAACTAAGAAGTACGAAATCAAAATCACTCATAAGAGGAACAAAACCAGGTCAAGGCCAAAGGTGAGACAAGGGAAGAGAACCCCAGGTGAACACAATCGGTGATCAGGGAAGACAATCAGACATGTGACACACAGGGGACTGCAAGAGGCCAGAAACCAGGGGATGTACCTTTCAAAATAAAACAGAAAATGACAAGACAACCATGGAGACAGGAGAAAACACAGAAAATCCCCCAGGATTTTGTATTTACTGTTGTTCTGCTCCAGTTTATCTCCTCCCCTTTGGTTAGGATTAGGGTTCTCCTGCAATGTGAGCCATGTGTTTGTTTGAGTCCTGAGCATCTGCCTCCCCCTCCCGCAGAACACCATGAAGCGGGGGAAGCAGATCCTGAGCGAGAAGAGCTTCGGCACGGCGGGGATCCAGGAGCGCATCATGGAGGTGAAGGCCGAGTGGAAGCGTCTGGAGGACCAGGCGGCGCAGCACCTGGGCCACCTGCAGGAGGCGCTCAACTTCTTCCAGTTCTCCACGGAGACCGACGACCTGGCGGCCTGGCTGCAGGACGCCTACCGGCTGGTGTCCAGCGAGGACTTCGGCCACGACGAGTACTCCACGCAGTCCCTGCTGAAGAAGCACCGCGGCGTGACCGAGGCCGTGGACAAGCACCGGCTGCACGTGGTGGCGCTGCACAAGCACGCCGCCGCGCTGCCGCTGCAGTTCCGCCAGCAGGAGGTGGGTGGCGCCGCCCGGGCCCCGGGAGGGGGGGCAGGCTCTGGTGTTTCAGGAGATCGGCCTTTGTCTCAGGTCTTCAGGAAGGCTAAATAAGAGACCTGGGAACTGGACCGATGTGGTCCTTTTTCCTGGTTCTGGTTAGAAATGGACCGATGCGGTCCTATTTCCTGGTTCTGCAGAGACCTGAGAACTGGACTGATGTGGTCCTGGTTCTGAACTGGACCGATGAGGTCCTGTTTCCTGGTTCTGGACTGGACTGATGTGGTCCTATTTCCTGGTTCCAAACTGGACTGATGCGGTCCTATTCCCTGGTTCTGGTCAGAACTGGACCGATGTGGTCTTGTTTCCTGTTTCCTGGTATGGAACTGGACTGATGTGGTCCTGTTTCCTGATTCTGGTCAGAACTGGACCAATGTGGTCCTGTTTCCTGGTTCTGGTTAGAACTGGACCAATGTGGTCCTGTTTCCTGGTCCTGCAGAGACCTGAGAACTGGATCAATGTGGTCCTGTTTCCTGGTTCTTGGTTATGCTCAGAGCTGGACCGATATGGTCCTGTTTCCTGGTTCTGAACTGGACTGATGCGGTCCTGTTTCCTGGTTCTTGGTTATGCTCAGAACTGGACTGATGTGGTCCCATTTCCTGGTTCTGGTGAGAACTGGACCGATGTGGTCCTGTTTCCTGGTTCTGAACTGGACTTATGTGGTCCTGGTTCTAAACTTGACTGATGTGGTCCTGTTTCCCGGTTCTGCTCGGAACTGGACCGATGTGGTCCTGTTTCCTGGTCCTGAATTGGACCGATGTGGTCCTGTTTCCTGGTTCTGCTCAGAACTGGAGGTGGGTCTTTAAGAGTTTAGAGGTGGGTCTTTAGGAGTTTAGAGGTGGGTCTTTAAGACTTTAGAGGTGGGTCTTTAAGAGTTTGGAAGTGGGTCTGTAAGAGTTTGGAGGTGGGTCCTTAAGTGTTTAGAAGTAGGTCTTTAAGAGGTTGGAGGTGGGTCTTTAAGAGTTATAGGTAGGTCTTTAAGAGTTTGAAGATGGGTCTTTAGGAGGTTAGAGGTGGGTCTTTAAGAGGTTTGAGTTGGGTCTGTAAGAGTTTGGAGGTGGGTCTTTAAGAGTTTGGAGAGGGGTCTTTAAGAGGTTGGAGGTGGGTCTTTAAGGTGGTCCAGTTCTGGGCAGGCCTGCTGACCCGTGCTCCTCTGCAGGAGGTGCAGGTGCGGATGGGGGAGGTGGAGCAGCTGTACACGGAGGTGGCGGAGGTGGCGGTGCTCCGGCAGCAGTGGCTCCACGACGCGCTGGCCGTCTACCGCATGTTCAGCGAGGTCAACGCCTGCGAGCTGTGGATCGACGAGAAGGAGCAGTGGCTGGACAAGATGGAGATCCCCGAGAAGCTGGAGGACGTAGAGGTGGTGGCGCACAGGTGAGACGACCAGCCCCTGGGGAGCCCCCCCCCCCTTGTCCTAACCAGATTCATCTCCTTTTCCAGGTTCGAGAGCCTGGACCAGGAGATGAACAGCCTGATGGGTCGGATCCTGGACGTTAATCAGATAGTTCAGCAGCTCCTGGACGGAGGTCATCCCTCCTCTGTGGAGGTCAGAGGCTGCCAGGACCACCTCAACTCCAGGTGCTGACACGGGGTCCCAGAGGGTTCCGGGTTTGGGTCCAAGAGGGTTCTGGGTTTGGGTCCCAGAGGTTTCCGGGTTCGGGTCCCAGAGGGTTCTGGGATGGAGTCCCCGGGGGAACCAGGACCATTCTGCCAAAGGGTTCTGGGTTGGAGTCCCGGGGGAACCAGGACCTTTCACGAAATGCGTCCGAACTGGTCATTTTCACATTTACGAAGCTTTTTATTAACATTCTTCCTCACCCATTATTTATTTTCTTACATTCAGAGTCCAGCTTGTCTTTAAATCTCTGACGAAAATCTCCAAAGTGCTCTTTAAGGATAACGATGGGCAGCCGGCTCATGAATCGGTGGGGTGATGGTTTTCTGTGGTAATGCGAGCAGCTTCTCAACCGACTGTCTCTGGCCAGACAGGCCGACCGGTCGGAGGCCTCTTCCCTCTTTCATTGACTGCCGGTCAGTCTGGCAGCAGCTCTGTGGGCCGGCGTGTGGGGCCAGTCTCAGGGGGACGCCGTCCCGAAGCCAGCCGAGACCAGCTGTCCAAAAATTAAACCAAAATAGGTTTGAGTCTCTAAACCCGCATTCCAGGTGGTTAAATCTCCATTGAGGCTTTGGTTTGTGTTGTTCGACACAGAAATATCGAGCTGTATTTTTCCTTTCCCTTTTCCCGCATTTATTAGATGTTAGACATCTTTTAAGAGTCTGACTGAAGGCAGCTGGACTTCTTGTCTGATCTTTATGATGTTTCTCCTCTAAACCAAAAGGCTTCTTTGGTTTAGTTGCTGTTGAAGCTTTCTAGCCTCTAGATATCTTACAAATCTGGTCAATTTCTTAGGTCTTCTCTGACATGCTACATGACCCCTTCCTCATTGCAAAAACTTGCACTTGATTCGAAATGGCGCCTTGCAGGATGGCAGCCATGTTCTGACAACAGAATAAAGGACAGACCCCCTCATTAATCATCAAGCTGTAATAATAATCAGTCAGATCTGTCATTTTTCTTTAAAGCCAGGCGTATACTGTGCTATTTTTGCCCCTTTTTGACACGATTTTTCACTCGTACGAGAATCCCTTGGTTTAGGAGATTCAGCTCCTAGTGTCGTCCACACAGAGTGAGGAGCAGCCATTAACCTGTCACCACCTCTAGATCCACACCGTCTGGTCGGAGGAAAACCAAACCAGTTTGAGTTTCTGGTCGGCTCTGGTGAGGGAATCGCGTTATTGAAGCCACGTTAGGAGCGTCTACGACCCGACTCCCCTCCATCTCTGCCTTTGCTAACATAGTGGAAGTGACTCTGAGTATCAGGGCCGCTGTTCCTGTGTCTTGGAATCAAACAATGGAAGCACAACTTGTGGAGTTCTGGCCGGCTGACCCAGCATTATCATCACCGAAATATAGAAGAGAAAAGTTGAGGGAAGATTGCTGCACAATTAAAGTTACCAGTTAAACCCAATTGTGCAAATTGCCAAGGCAGCTGTTAGCTCTGGTGACCCTCATGTTCCTTTCCAGTTGTTGGACGTACAATATAAGGTCAGATTGCGTAACAGTATCGGTTCGTATAGTGTGAGAACATAAATCGTGAGCTACGAACTTTGAACCCCTACGATTTGGTGGTGAAGCTTGAGCTGGAACTACGAGCAACGATTGGAAAACATCGCACAGTGTACGCCGGGCTTTAGTTTCTGGAGTAATTCTGCATCCTGGGACTTAATGACCTATAAGACGCCCCTATGGTCAGCGGCTCTGGGCTGACTTCCTGCCGGCCTGCTGAGCACACTGTCTGCCTCCCGGCGTCTCTGCCATTACCTCATCACAGTCGGAGGGCAGGAGGGAGCTTTGGCACGCGGGTCCCTCTTGGCCGAGGCGGTCTGGACGGAGACCTGCCGGTCTGGAGGAGATTCAGGGGAGCATATTGCATGACGACATGTGAGGCAGACGGGGCCTGAGCAGAGAGCCGGGATCCGCCTCGTGTTGTTCGGAGCAGATTGAGGCCGAACACAACAGCAATGTAGTTTGTTTTCATCCCTTTGAGGCGTCTGACCTCTCAGGTCTCTCAATGGACGCAATCGGGAGAGGCAGTAAAACATGGCGGATTAAATGTAAATGTAAATGTTTATGCATTTAGCAGACGCTTTTATCCAAAGTGACATACAAAGTAGACTATATTTTACAGTTATCATCAACATGACAAAAAGTTCTCTAGAGGAAAATCCCCAGTCAGAATCAGTGGTGACAGCAAGAGAGAGTAGGGGTTTACAGAGGTATGGGGAAGAGTTAGGATAGGAGATACTCTTTGAAGAGGTGGGTTTTTAAGAGTTTAGAGGTGGGTCTTTAAGAGTTTGGAAGTGAGAGAGAAGGAGGAGAAAGAGTAGTAGGGGGGCACAGAGGTAAGAGTCAGGATAGGAAATGCTCTGTGAAGAGGTGGGTCTTTAAGAGTTTCCTAAAAAAAGAAAGGGACTCCGCTGTTCATGTAGGACCTGGTAGGTCATTCCTCCATCTTGGAACAAAGCCTGAAAACAGTCTGATTGTCTTAACGTGGAGCAGCTCTGCTGGAAGACAACCTGTTGATGACCGGAGGGACCAGCTGGGACATGAGCCTTTGCAAGAGGGTTCGAATAGACAGGAGCCGGACCCTTAAGCACTTTGTAGGCATCAGGGACCTGGATTTGATATGGGCAGCCAGGGGTAACCGGAGGTAACTACGGGTAACCAGGGGTAACCAATGAAGAGGGAGACGTGAGACTTTTTGGGGTGATTAAAGACCAGAACTTCTGGATCATTTGTAAAGGTTTTACTGTACAGGCTGGGAGACCCGTCAGGAGGGTTTTACAACAGTCGAGGGGGAAGATAACTATAGTCTGCACCAGCAGCTTGGAAGCATGTTGGGTTAGGTATGGCCGCATCTTTCTTATGTTTAGTAGTGTGAAGCGAAAAGGTGGAGAGACGGAGGTAACATGATCTTCAAAGGTCAGCTGGTCATCAATCATGACACCCAAGTTTCTTGCTGCCTTTGGTGGAGTCAGAGACGGGGATCCAGTCCGGATGTGGATGTTGTGGTGTGTGGTTGGTTTGGCTGGGAAAATGAGCTGTTCAGTTTCAGAGAGATTCCGTTGGAGGTGATGGGCTTTTGTCAGATTAAGGCGCAGACCCAAAGAGCTTCCTGCAATGAGCAGAAACAAAAGCAGGCGGCGCCGTTCTGAGGTTGTTCTCCTCTTTTTGTTCAGGTGGAACAGCATCGTGGAGCTGGTGGAGCAAAAGAAAGACCAGCTGGACTCCATGCTCTGCCTGCAGAACTACCTGCTGGAGTGTGCGGAGATAAAGTCCCAGATCCAGGAGAAGAGAAAAGCCATCGACGCCACCCAGTACATGGGCAGCGATTTGGGGGGAGTGCTGGCTCTGCAGAGGCGCCTCTCCACCATGGAGGGAGCCCTGTCCGTCCTGGAGCCCAAGCTCCTACATCTGCAGGTACCGTAGCCGTGTGTAGGTCGAGTTCAGCCCGGTGAATCGCACCACTGAATGGATATGTGCGATTATTGTGGACTATATTGCGATTTGTGATTACGATAGTATAAATGAACGGTGTCTGCGTGCTTAAATATCAAGGACAACACAGAGAATCACAAACATTTCGTATATTTTTCAACTAAAAACATCCAAACATGGCACCAAAAAAATACAGAACCTGAACTTAAAAGCAGGGTGCAAAATTCGTGGGAATCTGGTATTAGCCAGCAGGGCTAACAACTCTGTAAAGTTGTTAGCTCTGACCAAAAATAGCCCAATTGGTACTATTCTGTCTCGTGGGTTCAAGCAGACTAAATCCAAATATTTCTTCGTAGGCTCCCTTTATATTCTGAAACCAACACACATAAAATGGTCTGTCAGCAGATCTCCTGGAACGCTTTGGTCGCTGTGCTGTAATATAATATTATTAAAAACGTTTTCAGTTCCTCTCGCTTGGCGGCGCAACCACGTCATGCCTCCAACGATTTCATAAAAAGGATGATAAACTGCAGGATAACATGGAGGACGATGAATTTCAAACAAAAACGTTTTTTTTGTATATGATTCCCTGTTTATTTTTAATGTATTTGATAAAAAAAACGTAATTTGCCAACCCGTCCTACCCCACGGAGGTGAAACACGACGGGCTAACAGCTTTTGATTTCTCACTGAGATCGTCCCGTTTGTTGGGATATTAGTGCTTATAGGCCTCTATTTTCATGTAGGCTCTGTTCAATGTCTGTATTTTTCAAAACGTTAGATAAAGAGTTTCTTTCTCTCTTTTTTTCTAAGACAGAATCCTGTGCGCAGGCACAAACGTGTGCATATTTGTTTACAATAATGGCAAATCGCAGTCTTTTATGCGATGACATAATTAAACAACATGACGTTGCTATGGCGATCACATTAACGGTGAAGCTCTGGTTCAGCCTGCCCGTCAGGATGCTTGGATAAAAGCAGCCTCACGAGTGATTTCCTCCCCGTTTGGTGCTGCAGGAGGAGGCGGAGCATCTGGCCACCGCCCACCCGGGCCGGGCCATGGAGATCCTGGTCCCGTTCGACGGCATCAGCGTGGAGTGGGAGGAGCTTAAGCGCACGCTGCAGGGGTGCGAGGACTCGCTGATGGTGGCCGGCAGGCTGCAGAGCTTCATACAGGTGACCACAGCCAGAGGCCCCGCCCCCTTTTCCAGTCACACCCTCAGAGCCTCTGTTGTTCCATCTGAAGGGTAGAACTATGGTGGCTCAGAAGTGTCAACAATTAAAGAGGGAGGAGCCTAGAAACTCCAATAACCACAGAGAGGGTTCTGTCCCCCATTTAGAAACTAATAACCTCAGAGAGGGTTCTGTCCCCACTTTAGAAACTAACAACCAAAGGGGGGGTTCTGCCTCCCATTTAGAAACTAACATCACAAAGAGGGTTCTACATCCAATTTAGAAACTCTAATAACCTCAGAGAGGGTTTTGCCTCCCATTTAGAAACTAATAACCTCAGAGAGGGTTCTGCCTCCCATTTAGAAACTCTTATCACCACAGAAAGGGTTCTATCCCCTATTTAGAAACTCTAACAACCAAAGAGAGGGTTCTGTCCCTCATTTAGAAAATCTTTTCACCACAGAGAGGGTTCTGTCCCCCATTTAGAAACTCTTATCACCACAGAGAGGGTTCTGTCCCCTATTTAGAAACTCTAACAACCAAAGAGAGGGTTCTATCCCCCATTTAGAAACTCTAACAACCCCAGAGAGGGTTCTGCCTCCCATTTAGAAACTCTAATACCCACAGAGATTGTTCGTTCTCCTGCCAGGACCTGGACTCGTTCCTCACCTGGCTGGTCCAGACGCAGACGTCCGCGGCCTCCGACCAGCTGCCCAACGGCCTGGAGGAGGCCGAGAAACTCATCAACAAGCACGCCGCCCTCAAGGAGGAGATCGGACGGTAGGTGGTCGTCCCGTTTAGGTCGCCGGGATGGAAGATTTCTGTCTGATAGTGTCAGGACGAGGCTCAAGGCAGGACTTTATTAACTAAATTTACTCTCTCTGAGTGGAAAAAAAGGTATGAAATGTACAAAATAAGTGACCCACAAGGAAATACAAGGGGATTTACTTTTCAAAATAAAACAGGAAATGACAAGACCAAGACATGACAAAATACCACAAAAAAAACACAGGCGTGACAAATAGTGCTTTTTGATAAAAAGCTGATTGATTAATAACAAAGTCTTCAATTAACCTCCAGATTTTAGATGTCCGCGGCCTTAAACCGCTGTCTAGATCCAGTCAGGTAATTAGCGACTAATCGCATTTCTTGTTTTTTTTTGTGCGTTTGCCGCTTGTGTGGAGTGTTTGTAACCGCTTATGTTCTCAGATGTGCTGTTATTACAAATACAGCATTACACGGTGACTGTAAAAGTTCATTTTTTACACGCTTTAGTGCATCGTTTTTTGTCTGGGAGGACCAACTTCAACATTCATGCTTCCTCTTTACAAACCGTCAAAGAAAATAACACCAAATACGACGAGGCTGTAGGATAGGATATACAACACGATGAGAAATGAGACAATATGGCAAGAATTAAAGCAATATAATGCTACACAATACGGTACGACATGTTAAGGTAACAGGGGTACGAGTTAAACTTAGTTTGAATAACTTACAGTGATAAAAAGATCAAATAAGAAATTATGAAATGCATTGAAATAAGAATTAAACATAGTGGCATTTTATAAGAGGGGGTGTACTTTTCAAAATAAAACAGGAAATGACAAGACCAAGATATGACAAAACACAAAAAGAAACAAAAAACAGGCGTGACGAATAGTGATTTTTGATTAAAAAAGCTGATTGATTTATAACAAAGTCTCCAATTAACCTCCAGATTTTAGATGTCCACGGCCTTAATCTCCATAAGTAAAAACGCTGCAGGTATCTGGAGATTATCTGTTGTTGTTCTCTTTTGTCTGCAGGTATGAGGAAGACTACGAGCGTCTGCAGGCCATGAATGAGCTGCTGGAGTCGGAGGAGGCGCCCCTCCCGCAGGCCGCCCTGCAGCAGTGGCTCCAGAAGCTGGACGTGGGCTGGAACAAACTCCTGGAGATGTGGGAGAGCAGGAGGGAGGTTCTGGTGCAGGCTCACATCTTCCATCTGTTCCTGCGAGACGTCAAACAGGCCGAGTCCTTCCTGAACAACCAGGTGAGGCAGGAGACGCTCAGCAGGGGGTTCAGGAGAGACGGTCAGAGGACAGAGCCGAACAGATGTGTCACATCTGGAATTACAAGAAAAACATTTAGTTTTTTAAAGAAATATGTTAAAAAATCTGTTTAGCAAAAAAAATCTGTTAAAAATAGAAATTGTTGTATTTTCTGTGATATTATATTATATTATATTATATTATATTATATTATATTATAACATTTAGTTTTTTAAAGAAATATGTTCAAATAATCTGTTTAAGAATGTTAGTATTTTCTGTGATATATTATATTATATTATATTATATTATATTATATTATATTATATTATATTATATTGGTGTGTTTGCATACATTATCTTTCCTTCAATCATTTTAAATGTGTAAGACTATTAAATTAAATAAGGTATTAATTACTTGGTCTTTTTGACAAAATTAAACAGTATAAAAAATGTGATTGTAATGACATAAAATAGCTAATTTCCAGATAAATAAGTTGACTAATTTCCGAGACTTCAAAAATGTTCCACTGCTGAAAAAAGCAGGTTGAAACTAAACAACATTTCACATTTTATACAGAAAAATTACAAACAGCAATGGAACAAGAGGATGTTTCACGATCAAAACAGAAATTATTTTTGTGTATTTGTTGTTTTTATGTCTGAGAATCCCTCTTTAAAGGATTTCAGGCTCTCCCTTTGTCCTGTTCTGAGCTCCGTCCATCAGCTGAACCAAAAAGGAAATTAACCCGGTCTTCTCTCTCCAGGAGTCGGCCCTGGCTCACGTGGAGCTGCCCACCACGGTGGAGACGGTGGAGGCGGCCATCAAGAAACACAAGGACTTCACCACCACCATGGAGCTGAACCTGCACCGGATCAAAGCCGTGATCGAGGCGGGAGAGAGCCTGATCAGCCAGAGCAACATCTACTCGGACCGCATCAGGGAGCGCATCGACACGCTGGCCAGCAGGTAGCAGCGGGCTCAGCCTTATCAGCCTTATTTAGCCTTTATTTATTCTTTATGCAGCCTCTATTTAGCCTCATTTAGCCTTTATTTAGCCTTTATGCAGCTTTATTTGGCCTTCATGCAGCCTTATGCAGGCTTTATGCAGCCTCATACAGATTTATTTAGCATTTATTTAGCCTTTATTTAGCCTTTATGCAGCTTTATTTAGCCTTTATGCAGCCTTTATGCAGCCTTTTGCAGCCTTTATGTAGCTTTATTTAGCCTTTTGCAGCCTTTATTTAGCCTTATTTAGCCTTTATCAGCCTTATGCAGCCTTTATTCAGCCTTATGTAGCGTTTATTTAGCTTTTATGCAGCCTTATGCAGCCTAATGACTACGAGTAATTTCCCAAGTTTGTTTTTTTTAAACTTAATTTTGAGTTTTATTTTGAAACTCAAGTGCCAAAACATATAATATCACCTCCTCCTCATTCAACTAAATATTGAATAGATAAAATAACATTTAATAAATAAAATAAAGTGCAATAAATGTGAGAATATCTTCTATTTTACAAAAATAATATAAAAGCATTCAAGTAAAAGTCCTGTAAAACTACTATATTCTCGTATAATCCTATTAATATAAAAGGAAAATATATAAACATCAATAGGCCCTCATCCCTTATTGAACTTCCAGTTACAACAAATAACAAATAATTGGATTTTGAACCTCCAGGGTCCAAACGTGGACCGTTTCTCCTCCAGTGAGCTTAAAACCTCAACAGAAAATTTCAAAAATGCCTTTTCACTGGGGAACTCTGTGTCACAGAACAATCAGACCGTTAGAAAAGAGTCTTAGCTCTTTTCTAACTGTCTAAGGGTCAGGAAACAGGTGGATCTTTGGGCTATTTTGGAGAAAATAGAAGCTAAAAGCTAAAAGCTGCATTTCCTCGGTTAGATATGGGCGCTCTCTGTTTAAGGTGGGACCCTCTGATGGATTCGGGCTCATAAAAAGCAGCCTGTAAAGGACACAAAAGGCAGAACGGGGAGCCAATCAGACTCACGCCAACCATGAAATGTGTGCGATAGCCGAGCTGCTGGTGGGGGGGGGGCGCCATATGGTTTTAGTATTAAATTAGCATGAATTAACACGGGGTGTGTGTCTGCCTCTCATTCAGCCTGTTGAAACACACTCTATTAGATTTTTTTCATCAACAGTCAAGTAATTAGCGACTAATCGCATTTCTTGTGTTTTTTTTTGTGCGTTTGCTGCTTGTGTAGTGTTTTATTACAAATCCAGCGTCACACGCTGACTGTAAAAGTTTATTTCTTACACGCATTAGTGCATCGTTTTTTGTCGGGGAGGACCAACTTCAACATTCATGCTTCCTCTTTACAAACTATGAAAGAAAATAACACCAAATATGACGAGGCTGTAGGATATGATACACAACAGGATGGGATATGAGACAATAAAGCAAGAATTAAAGCAATATAATGCAACACAATACTGTACGACATGTTAAGGTAACAGGGGGACGAGTTAAACTTAGTTTGAATAACTTACATCGATCAAAAGATCAAATGAGACATGATTAAATGCATTAAAATAAGAATTAAACATGGTGGCATTTTATAAATGTTTATATGTGATACAAAATAAAAAGAGGGACAGAAATATGAGAGATAAGGAGAATACTTCCATCCTTCTTCTGCTTTAATGTCTTTGACCTCCTCCTTCCAAAGCCAAATACAAGTAATTGTGTGGAATATGAACACCAGCAAACATACTGGGAAATGTTTCCCTTTGTGCTCATAGATGAGCCATGAATTCAAATGTAAATCTTGTTTTTTGTCTCTCAGGGGGAACCAGAACCGGGAGCTGGCCCAGCAGTGGCTGGAAAAGCTGAACGACCAGTGGGAGCTCCAGAGGTTCCTGCAGGACTGCCACGAGGTAGGAACCAAAACCAGTCTGGTTTATTTATTTATTTATCCAGTCTGTATCCAAACAGTGTTTAAAGAGGAGCCTTCGGTTTAGAAAAACGTCATGTAATAGAATAGAATAGAATAGAATAGAATAGAATAGAATATTTAAAAAAAAGTAGATTTCTATAATGAACTTATTCCCACAATGGAGATCAAATACATTGTTGCATTTTAAGAATAAGGACGATGAAATGTATGGTGAAATAAAATTAAGTTAAGAGATTAATCAAAACTATGTAAAGGAAAAAAACTCAGACATAAATACTGAATGAAGATACAACTACAAAAAATAAAACTATAAAAAATAATACTATAAAAAATAAACCAAAAATAAATATGAAAATAGTCAGTAATTCTAAATGTGTTTTGTTGAAAAAATCAAAATGATTTTTTCAGTTGTTACACCATTAATGATGCCATTTTAATAGAATTCATCATCATATTACATTTATTTTTTCTTTCAGTAGTATAAATGTTTTTATTTGTAAACATGTCAAAGCACCTTTTTGTCAGTAATATCAGAGTTCCCACTTTAAAGGCTCATTGGTGTGTATTTAATTACATTTTTAACATTTGATTTCTGCTGTTCATCGGAGCTGAACTTCATTTGAGACTCTTAAACAAATAAAACAGGGTACAAACTGGATTTTTTGGGCTGATCATGGCTGAACTGTGCAGTTTTGTTTTTTGTTTTTTCTGCTCAGTCACTATTTTCTCTCTGGGCCAAAAAGCTTGTTTGGTTTCAATAATTCAGCAGCCTCTTCCTCATCACTAATTCAAAGGAGGAAGAGTGGATCTCTCCCCGAATGCCCGCCTGTGTGTTCCTGGGTTGTGTTAGTTGTGTTTGTTGTGTGGACTGTGTGGATTCTGCACTGGGACCAAACCTGGGTGTGTCTGTGGGACCATCCAGGGTATCCGGAACAGACTGTCTTCAGCTCCGCGTTTATCCTCGTCTTCATCAGCCAATACAGATGTTGTAGCAGGAGCCATCCAGATGTGCCACATCAAAATACAGATTAAAACAGATTTACACATGGGATTGCCCATAATTATATTTATACAGTAGAACCTCTACATAGGAATTTAATTCGTTCCAGGGCCGACTTCCTATGTTAAAATATGTTGGTTCAACTATTTCCATCGGAATACATTGTAGATCCTATAATTCGTTCCAAAAACCTACCATGACTCTTTAATAAACACTGCAGATAATTACACATAGCAATACAAAAAATGCATTATATATAGGAGAGATGTAAAAAGAAGTAAATGATAAAGAAATAATCCATAAAAAGGGTTTTATTGGCACATACTGGTGAACGGAGGTAGAGGTGGAGGTAACTTACTCTAACTTTCACTAGTTAAACTTTAAACTAACTTATCTTATATATTTTGATTTAATAAAAAAAAACGTTTTCTATGACTAAGAAATTTACTTTGGGTGTCGAGTCGAATATTTGATCGAATTTCACTTCGGATGTTGGAAAATTTGTATGTTTAGGCGATTGGAAGTAGAGGTTCTACTGTATATATATTTTTTTTTAATTTATTTATTTATTTATTTTTTTACAGAAATGATTAAATCCCATTTCCCAGCAGAGGGAAAAATGCAAAAGGTCTCTAAAAACAGCAGCTGTTAGGGGGCGCCAGAGCCTCATGGAACCCCAAAAACAGAGCTGTTTTTTTGTTTTGTTTTGGGGGGATTATTCCAGTATTTTTCTTTGGGGGGTTTGTTTCCAGTAATTTGTTTTGGGGGTTTGACTCCAGCTGGAAAGCTGCAGCTCTGAGGAGGTTTGTTCCTGTTGGGGATTGTGTTTCTGTCCCGGCCAATCAGGGGGCCGGGCTCCTTCTTCCTCTGCTGCTGATTGGCTTCCTGCCGGGGCCTGAGTGGGGAGTAGCGCCCCCCAGTGGGCAGCTGTGGTACCTCAGTGGGATCTGTTTCACTTTCTGAGTCCACTCTCTCTCCTCATCCCTCTCTCCCTCTCTCCTCATCCCTCTCTTCTCTGTCTCCTCATCCCTCTCTCC